CTAATCCAGACTCCATTGTTGTGAGGGCCATCAAAATTTAATCATCTAATCTTTTGAGCCTCAAAAAATTAACTTAAGTGATTTTTAAGCAACACTTATTATTTGTACATGCACGGAAGGGTGTGTACAAATAATACTTCAGCAACTCTAATAACAGCTTTGTCTTATCATTTTGCACATTAATCACAAAATAACTTTTTTCTTCTTGTTTTCTATCATTCTAATTTGATACTTACTACACCATTTTGATATATGCTACGTACAGCTTGCAAACTTTGCTAAATTTTAACCATCTTTTACCGATTGATTTATTGTTCAAATTTTTATCATCGATTTTTAATATGAACATTTTAAATTATGTATCATCTAATTTGCGCTGCCTCCCTTCAATTGTATTATATTATACAATTTATTTGCTCTTAATGTCTGATTTTAGCTTCTGTGTGAACTTATAGTTATTTAACTTAACATTGCTATATTAAGTTAGATTACCGTATGAAGTTATCTAACCTAATTTGGGAATATCTAACATGCAATCTAAACTTTTTTTTTAAGATGACACAAGCAAAAAAAAAAATTGATATGGTAGACACCTGTTACTTTAATAACAGGGCATGTAATATTGAATGTTTTAATGCCCATAAGTGTTCAAAATAAAATTCATTGAATCTATAATGTGTCATATCAAAGTGTCAATTCCTTTGTGACAATTAAGTCTTCTTTTTCTCCACCGAGTGGGAATATTAAATTTTTGTGTAGCTTTTGGAAGTCGTAACCAAGTATGATATCACTACAAAGATTTTCTAAGACACCAAATTGAACATTATTATAAAATAAACCATTTACTTCAAGATTAACCGAATAACAGCCCACTAATCCAGACTCCATTGTTGTGAGGGCCATCAAAATTTTCTTTTTACTGGGTAACGTTTTAATTTTTAAAGTCTCGATAATTTTCTTGCTTATAAAATTATCTGAGCTACAGGAATCGATCAGTGCAGTTAACGGTTCATCATTAATTCTGACAATAACAGCTGCATGAGAGAGACTCAACGGACAACCACTTGAAACAGTACACAAACTTGGTTTATGTATTGCAGCTGAAACACTGTGGGTTATATTCATCGGTACACAAACTTGGTTTATGTATTGCAGCTGAAACACTGTGGGTTATATTCATCGGTCTGCCAAGACAAACTTTGAAAAAATGACCTTTTTTTCCACATTTAAAACAGGTTACATTTTGAGCTGGACAATTTTTCCTAGCAGAGGTTTGATTACGTTGGTTGTGAGATGGATTACCACAATAAATGCATTTTATTTGAGGATTAATAGTCATAGCATTGAGTGCTGCTGAGGGTTCTTCTGGTAATTTTATAGCGGCAGCAATATTTAAATTGGAGGAAAAGGAGGATGTTTTCTGCATATAAGAATCTGAGTTTCTTTGTGCAATGTCAAGAGAACGAGCTTGGTTAAATGCTGATTGCAAATTCAATGTTGAATTTTCAAGAAGTCGTTGACGAATGTAATTTGAATTTATTCCAGAAATAAAAGCATCTCTTATTTGTTCCTCTCGATATTGTTCAGCTGAAACATCCTTATAATTACAGTCATGCTGAGTTTACAAAGTTCCTGAAGAAAGTCTTCTAAGGATTCACTCAATGTTTGATGTCTTATAAGTAACTGATGCCTTGCAAAAATTTCATTAGGTTTTTATATATAAGTTTTCTAGGGTTTCAATTACACTTTCATAGGAATCACACTCTTCAATGTAATCATAAACATTTGATGAAACAAAATTAATGATAGAGCGAAATTTGTCTGGAGCATCCTCTCCACAATCTTCAATGAAATTTTCAAATGTTCGTTTCCAATGCTTCCATTCTTTTGAAGCAGTTGGTGCATTATGATCAAGATCAAGCCTCGTCGGTTTTAAGATCTTTGACATTTCCCAATAATTTTATATGTTTGTTAAATAAATTGTAATAAACTAATAAAAAGATTGACCTCTTGATTAAGGCTTTATTTAACAATAATTGTACTAATCTAAAGATACAAGAAAAGAGACACATATATAAAACAAATAGTTCAATAACAAAAAATAGAAAACACAACAAACACTTGCAGAAATTTTGCATCAGATAGTTGTTTATTTGTTATAATTATTTTTTGGGTATGAACGTCGATGTCACTTCATTAAAATGCAATTCATTTAAATACAAAAAACAATACTACCTCACACAAAAAAAAGCGGGCTTCTTACGTCTTGATTTTTTTTTTCTTAAGTCGCACTTGTTAGGGGTAGGTACAATCGGCGGGGCGGGGCGGATCAGCGGGGCGGATCATTTTAACGGTACACACGGCGGGCCGGATAATTTAAACGTTGCCAACATTTTATAATTGCAAATCATACTTCATTAAATAAAATAAAAAAAACTTTTTCAATTTTTTATTTATTTGATAAGTATTTTTTATAGATTCAGATATAGTGTAAGTTCATTAAAGAAACAATATTTAAAAGGTATTTGCAAATTATAACTTTAATAAACGACGAAAAATATTATATAATTTTAAAATCATTTTTACAAAAAACAACGTGATCCGCCCCGCCGTTTGTACCCTTAAAATGATCCGCCTCGCCCCGCCGATAAACCCACTTGTTAAAAGGAATATCGCCCCGCCGACCTACCCACTTGTTAAAAGGAATATCAACAAAAACAAGCATATTTCAAAGTTATTTCTTATAATTTATTTATCAAACAATAATTGTTGGTATTACGATAAACACATAACAAAAAGCTTTGATAACAATTTTGGTCACCATACTTAAAAAATAATAAATAACATACATGTATGTTTATTATTTATTATTATTATTTTTTATTATTATTATTATTATTTATTATTATTATTATTATTATTTATTATTATTATTATTTATTATTATTATTTATTATTTATTTATTAGTTTTCAATAAGTTCTGAGGATTTTCAACGATTATTGATCAAAAATAGAAAATATTATATACTGGAACGCTAAAACGTTATTTTTTTAATTCTGTATTAATAACGTTTTAGCGTGCCAGTATATAATATTTTCTATTTTTGTTAAAAAATATAAATATTTATATATAACCCTAACCCTAACCCTAACCCTGACCCTAACCCTTGTTAAAAAATAGAAAAATTTTTTAAGAATTCCTTGGTAACCAAGAAATTCTTTACTTCTAGAGAAGTGAACATTTTTAAAACAGGTCTGATGAAGACTTGGTACCTTTTCCACATTTTTTTTAAAATGCTTTTTTGCAACTATCGAATTTTTTTTTTTACAAAAAAAGCACCTGATATGTATTGTAATATGACAAAACTATATAAAAAAAAAAAAAAAAAAACAATAACCTCATTTTTGAACTTCTTGACCTGACTAGCTGTTATGTCAAATATCTAGAAACTAAGACTTGGTACCTTTTCCTGTGAGACTTACAGGAAAAGGTTAAGGCAATAAATCTCAGAAGCCTCATATTTAAAAATTGTCTAAACTACACCGAGAAGTTGGGTTTATCTTCTTCTAGAGTTGCTGAAGTATTATTTGTACACACCCTTCCGTGCATGTACAAATAATAAGTGTTGCTTAAAAATCACTTAAGTTAATTTTTTGAGGCTCAAAAGATTAGATGATTAAATTTTCCTGGCATGAAGTAAACATTTAAATGTTTACTTCATGCCAGGAACACATTTAAATAGCTCAACAAAAAAAAAAATATTTCATTAACCTGGTAGTAAACCACAATGTTACATTGTACAACCAGGTTAATAAAATCTACTTTGTTTTTTTGAGCTATTAAAATGTGTTCCAGGCCAAACAGCTTTGTCTTATCATTTTGCACATTAATCACAAAATAACTTTTTTCTTCTTGTTTTCTATCATTCTAATTTGATACTTACTACACCATTTTGATATATGCTACGTACAGCTTGCAAACTTTGCTAAATTTTAACCATCTTTTACCGATTGATTTATTGTTCGAATTTTTATCATCGATTTTTAATATGAACATTTTAAATTATGTATCATCTAATTTGCGCTGCCTCCCTTCAATTGTATTATATTATACAATTTATTTGCTCTTAATGTCTGATTTTAGCTTCTGTGTGAACTTATAGTTATTTAACTTAACATTGCTATATTAAGTTAGATTACCGTATGAAGTTATCTAACCTAATTTGGGAATATCTAACATGCAATCTAAACTTTTTTTTTAAGATGACACAAGCAAAAAAAAAAATTGATATGGTAGACACCTGTTACTTTAATAACAGGGCATGTAATATTGAATGTTTTAATGCCCATAAGTGTTCAAAATAAAATTCATTGAATCTATAATGTGTCATATCAAAGTAAAAATATGGTTTTAAATATTTATTTTCAAACCATAAATCTTGTACAAATACAGCAATAAATTATCTTTCCAAAAATATATGAAAAGTTAGTTTTTTCATATATCATTAAAAAAATAATTTATTTCTGATTCATACTACTTAAGAATTATGGTTAATAATTTACTTACGTTACTAATTTAAGAACTATGGTTTGAAAATGAGTATTACAATATAGCACAAAAAAAAGCCCCTTCAATTCAAGCCCCGCAGGCGCTCTTTTAGGCGTAATTAAAAAGAGGAAACAAAAGAGTCAAAAAATTTATTTTATCATTGCCCATTTTTAATTAAGATAACGTAACAATAATTAAACTGAATTATACCTCTTCTATGATTGAATGTGCTTAGATTAGCTTAATCTGAAAAAAAAAAACATGTTACTAGGTGCAATAAATTAAGGGCATAGCATTTGTTAATTGCGTGACAGTCAGCTTTAATGGCAGAGAATGACTTTAACCTCAATCCCAGTTAGATTATTTTCTCTAGATTCTTTTTTAAGATAGGATATGAATCAAGCAATAACTGATGTTATAGGTATTATTAATTTTTTACAATTTTTTTAGACACTGCTCCAGAAATATTGAGTTACAATACTACTGATGATGGTTCCAGTGCAGAGGAGGATGAACAAACCATACAAAGAATTCTGACACAGACACAAGTTGATGAAGAATTGACTAATGATGGAAAAGCAGTGCACCATAAAGAAGCACTTAAAGCTTTTGAAGAAAAAATGAAAAATATGGATCCAATAGGTAAATATTCTTAATTTAGAATGTTTTAAATTTTGAAAACTTAATACAATAATAGTTAAAGCAATTAAAAGTTAAAATGAGTTTTAATTATTCTAAATCATCCAAATTATATATTTTTTTAAATACATGATTATATAATCTATTAAAATTTGTGCTTGAATAAAACCATTGCAACTTTTTAAATCTTTATTATTCACTTTAAATGTCATTATGTGTTAACACAAAACATTAGCTATACATATAAACTATATGCATTAATAAAAAACTTCAAAAATAATTAAAACACTCTTATATGTTATGTCACATTCTATTTCTAATTCTATTTCTAATTCTATTTTCATTTGTAATTTCTCTTTGTTTTAACATTTGATTTTAAATGCTTAACTTTAATGTTGATTTTAATTGCTTAGATATTACAAATGCTGAAACCATAATAGAAAAGCAAGAAGAAGCACTTGCGGAGCAAAAAGGTTAGTTTAATATTGTGTTGTAGTTTTTGTTCTTAAGTTTTAGTTTTATTAATTAGTTTTTTTATATATATAAAACTTAAAACAGGTGTTTTTGAATTTCATTAAATTAATTTAATTTAGTATGTTTATTTTTTTTTCATTATTTATTTAGTTTTACATTTCTGTAATATTGGACTTTCTAAAAGTTAAATTTTTTATTTCAATTTTATAGCTGAAGTTAAGAACAAGGTTATTGAAATTGTTGAGGGGGATATTGTTAAAACTGAGTTAGTAGAAGCAATCATGAGCAATGATACTTCCAAACGACAATTGAATATTGGAGAAAAATGGAGTCTTGAAATTGCATATGAACTACCTGTAAAAATTAGTGGAGGTTTAAATTTTTTACCTTTTCACTTTTAAGTACAACTTAGTAATGGTTTGTGACTGAACAGTTTTTGTTAATACAATAATATATTTAACACAGTGAAAATTCTTATTCTTTTACAAAAGCAACAACAGGAATAACCAAACAAAAGGTTTTTATATATATATTTAAAAAAGTTAAGAGCAATATTTCATATGAAAAATAAAGATAAACAGCAAATTTGAAGTAAAAAATACATATGGAAGCTAGTACATTATAACAAAAATTCAAAACAGTAAGAATATTCTAATATATTTACAAAACAATAGAAATATAAGCAATGTTGAATAACAATACATAGTTGGTATAATGATTTATCCTCCTCTGACTAATTGCCATATAGAGGCCACATTACCAAGGTCTACGAAGACAAACTTAGCTCACTAAAGGGTATCATAACTTGCTTCAATGGGCGATGAGTAATTAAATTTAAGAAGTACAAAGTCTTTTAGTATAAAATTCAGAAGAAGTTGAGTTAGAAAGATAGAATATAGTAAGCAGACAAATATTGCACTTGATGTTAAAATGTGCAATTAATCTGTTATAACTAATTAATGTATTTGATTGATAACAATACATAATTGGTATTATGGTTTATCCTCTTTTAGCTTATTGTCATATAGAGACCATGGCCTGCGAAGCCAAGTTCAGCTCATTAAAGAGCTTCATAACCTGCTTTGACAGATCAAGAGTAAGCGAGTTTCAAGAGAACAAAGAATTATAGAGTGAAAGTCAGAAGAAGTTGAGTTAGAAAGATAGTATAGAGAAATTGAAACTATTGTACTACTCACAAGCAAGTGTTTACAATGAGTTTCTAATTAGTTTTTCTGTGACAAATCATCTTTACTTAAATTAATTTCAAGTTGTGTTCATATCTTGATTAATCCTTCAAAAAAAAGTTTCTTTTCCTTAAAAAAAAACTTTCCAAAACGAGTTATTTATTGAAATAGTAAAAAACTTTATAATTTTGAATCTTTTCTTTTGAAAGTAAGTTTTTTTGTGACAAACCGATTAAGGCCATACTATTGTACATTAAAAGGAAAATAAAACATGATTAATAGCAAAAAGCAATGATAAATAAACATTTACTGTGTTAACAAGATAAAAGAAAATAACCTTTTTAACCATATGTTATGAAAAGAATGTTATGTTATGAACATATAAAAAGAATGTAACCTTTTTACCATATGTCTCAAGTTGTAACCAATTTGAGACATAACTTAAAAGTGTTGTAGGGGTAAGGCAAATAAAGTCTTTACAATGTCTTTAAAAAGTTTTCATAAAAAATGTCTTAAAAAGGTTTAAAAAATTCTAGAATGTCTCAGAGGCAAGAAAACAACATTTTTTTGATATTTTCTTGACAATTAATTTAGTACAAAAAAACAATTTGAAAATTGTAATGAAAAAACTATTTTATAGCAAGTTTGATTAAAAAAAAAATATTGTACAGCTTTCTGTAAAATTACAAAATTCTAGAAAAAACAACTACAAAAACTTTTTTTTTAATCATTTTACTCACATATGATCTGTTAATCATACCTGACGAAGCAAAACATTTTTACGTAACAAGATGTAATGTTACAAAACTGTTACATAGCATGTTTACATTACAAGGCGTGATGTACATACTTTTACGTAATGTGAAATAACATTTTTATATATCGTTAGCTATCATTTTACTTTTTTGCCTAACAAAAAGTAACATTTCTAACCTTACAAAGGCCACATTACCAAGGCAGGCAAAGACGATTTCAGCTCATTAGAGAGCATTATAACCCGCTTCCCTACCAAGAGTAAGTGATTTTAAGGAGGATGAAGGAATTAGAGTGAAATTCAGAAGAAGCTGAGTTAGAGAGATTGCATAGAAAAAGCGGACAGATATTGCATTAGATGTTAGAATGTGCAATCTTTTTTCAATATGGTAATTTTATCATTATTGAAATTTCAGATAGACTGATGATAACACAAAATATGGGTTGGCACTTTATACATATTTTTGCATATGTGGGTTTGTTAAAACTTTAAAAGCGAAAAAAAATTTTTGTGACAAATTCACCAATAAAAACTGAATATTTAACTTTTGTTTATACAAAAAAAAATTGAAAGCGTTTTCATTTTTTTTTTAAACACGGAAGAAATTTTCAAGTTACCCAAACTTTACTGTTTAAAGAATTAAATTTACTATTTAATTTTTTTAAATAGAAAGTTCAGTCAAGTTAAAAAATTCTTCCGGGTAAGTTAAAAAATCAGAAAGATTTTTTAACTTACCCTAATCAGAGAAAACATAAGTATGAACATTCGTAAGTTCATACTTATGTAATTTAATATGATTTTATGACAAAAAAAACAAGCAGATTAAAACCTAGGAACGTAAAGACCATAAAAAGTAAGCATCACCCAGCTAAATGCCTATTTTTTAAGTATGCATAACCTCCCACACCACTTTTATAAAAAATCTCATCAGCAATTAAGCAATCCTTAAACAATGCTTATTAAATTATAAAATTATTATGTATAATATATTTAATAATTTTCAGATTTAATATATTATATTTTGATATTACTAAATATCGGAATATAAATTAAATATTGGTAAATTTAAATTTATAATTTTTATTTCATTTTTTAAGGGAAAGGCTAAATTTTTGATAAAACTTTTGACTTTAATGTAATGTAATTCTTAAACGTCAACCTTACAATTTTTTAAAATAACCTGAATTGCTCTCTTAGAACTCTGCTAATAGTTCCACGCAAACCTCTAAATTAAATAAAGCTTTAAATAAACAGGTTGTCCAAAGAGTTGAGCAAATGAAAATATGTTGCAGACCAGAAATATTGCTATTTGTGGTTACTGAGACTAAACTAAACAAAAAAATATAAGAACAAGCACTTAATACATTTAGATTTGGGCTTGAAAAAGATCATTTGAGCTTGAAAAGGATCTCACTTCTGCTACAGCATGGGGTTCACAGTGGCTTGTAAACTTTAATTCAGATGAAAACTCAATTTTTTTCAGCCAATCGTTATCACAATAATTTAGACCTTCCTATATTTATGAACGGTAATGTACTCGATGAGTCATCTACCCTTCATCTTCTAGGATTAACACTTACTTTCTTGGAAATCTTATATCAAATTTGTTGCAAAATAAGCATCTGCTAAAGTTGGATCTCTTTATCAAGCTCGACACTTTCTAACTCTGGATTCTATTCTCTATCTCTATAAATCTCAAATCCGTCCTTGTATGGAATACTGTTGCCATATCTGGGGCGGATCTTCTAATGATGCCTTTTCTCTTTTAGACAAGGTGCAAAAACGCATTGTAAACATAGTTGGACCTGCTCTTTCAGCCAACTTTCAACCTTTGTCACATTGTCGTAATGTTGCTTCTCTTTCTCTTTTCTACAAATACTATAATGGGCACTGCTCATAGCTAGCATTTCTTGTGCCATCTACTAAAATTCATTCTCGTGTTACTCATCATTCAATTAAGTCTCATCCTTTTTCTGTTACTGTTCCTAAGTGCTCCAAAAACTCTTATTCGTCTAGTTTTTTTCCTCGAACATCAGGTCTTTAGAATTTGCTTCCTTCATCTTCATGCTTTCCTGATTCATATAATTTGCAATCTTTTAAGTTGTCTGTCAATCGTTATCTTGCTCTAAAATCTTCATCTTTTCTCTTCCAGTAACTTCCAACACTAATTAATGGTTGCTTGCAGCCTTGTTGGAAGCGAAGATGTTAAAAAAAAAAAGATTCTGTTGCATTTTTTTTTTTTAAATTGATGTCTTAAATTTGAAACATAATTTAAATACTTCACAGTTATTGATTGGTATAACAAAGTTCAACTAAATTGCACTTTGTTATACCAATGGTTTTTTTAATAATAAATTTAATTCTTAGCATCTAAAAAACCATATAAAAGTAGATACAAGCTTTCATTTTCTTCAGTATATTTTTTCAATAGTAAAATAAAATATAAAATAAAATATAAGATATTAAGTAAAATAAAATATAAGATATTAAGTAAAATAAAATATAAGATATTAAATAAAATAAAATATAAGATATTAAGTAAAATAAAATATAAGATATTAAGTTAAAATAAGATTAATATTTTTTAATAATGTTATTATTGTTATATTATTATTTTTGCTTGTTTTTACAATTTTATTATGATTTATCAAACCCTATTCTATTCTTGTAAAAATATTTAGAAAGAAATTAATTTAAATTTAAAATAAATCCAATTTTAAAGCAACAAAAAAATGAGAAAATCATTTTAAAATTTACATTACTAATGCTATTCATATATTCAATTTGTTGCTAAATCTTATTTAATATTCAGTTTGGTGCTAAATGTTATTTAATATGAATTTGTTGCTAAATTTTATTTAATATTTAATTTGTTGCTAAATGTTATTTAATATTTGCATAGTAATAATTATAATAATTAAATAGTAATGTCAATAAATAGAGTAATAATTTTAGACGGTCGAATGCAACGTGCTATAAATGAAGCTATCCGAGAACTGAGCAAAGAAAGTTGCCTCAAATTTTTGAAGAGATTAAACAATGGAAATTCAAAGTATAATGTAGATATAGATGGAAAAACACCAGAACCTTACTTGAGGTTTATTCAAGGAAATGGGTATAGTGCTTAATAATTTTTTTAAAGTATATATGCAATAATATCATGGGTTTTTTATATTTTGAAGGATTTCAATTTTCAGTGATTATTTTTAGGGTTAGTGTATCACATTTTTTGAAGTTTTTAAATTTAATTTATTAAATTTATATATTTAATTAGGTTGTTCCAAATCACAAGCAAAAAAAAAAAAAGGAAAATGATTTTTTGTGTATGTGCTTAATGAGGAATTTAATTTTTGTTTGTTTTCTCATAAGTAAAATGTTGTTTACTTATGAGAAAACACTAGCTTTTGCTAGTAATATTAGTTCCTGATATTTTGTTTAGTTATATTATGAAGCTCCTGATTTTTCTGATGGTTCCTGATATTTTATTCTACCTTCTAATATTTTAAGTACTTTTTTATTTCATGTACTTAGTATTTGTGTAATTCTTGATATTTTATACTAGTTCCTAGTGTTTCAGACCATAAATACTCTAATACTCCCTTGTCTAGGGTTCTTAGTTGAGTAAAGGCTAGTAAATGGTGTCTTATCCAAACAATTATCAAAAAATCTGTTTTCAAATACCTATTTTTTAAGTCACAATTGATTTATAAAAGATTAAAGGTTATAAATGATTAAAAAGATGCAATACACTTAACATTTTTTGTGTCTAAAAAGTTTCTAGTCATGAAAATTTTAATGTAATACCTTGTCTGTTATTGGTTGATATAACATTTTAATGTTTTAATCTTCTCTGTTATTGGTTGATATAACATTTTAATGTTTTAATCTTTTCTGTTATTGGTTGATGTAACATTTTAATGTTTTAATCTTTTCTGTTATTGGTTATGTAACATTTTAATGTTTTAAGCTTGTCTGCTATTGGTTGGTGTAATATTTCAATGTTTTAATTTTGTCTGTTATTGGTTGATATAGTTTAAAAGTTTGTTGCCTTGCATACTTTTTTATGACTCTATTCAAAATAGAATAGGGTAATAATGGTTTGTTCAAGACTCGACTTGAAACTAATGTTTTTATTTTATATACTGCTAATCTTCCTTCTGAAGAAAGATGAAATGAAAAATTTTCCTTTGAAGGAAAATTTTTAAACCAAAATTTTAAATTGTGATTACTTTTTAATGAATGCATTATACTATTAATGAATTTATTGTTTATTAATTTATTAATTATACTATTAATGAACTTATTGTTTGTTTGCATAAACAAATTATTTTTGGCTGTTTACTTGTTTTTGTATATACAAATATTTTTGCTGTTTACTATTTAAGTTTAGTAAAATGAGTAAAACTTAGATTAGAAAAAGTTACAAGATAAAACATTTCAAAATAACAAGTATAAAGTTTATTACAGCATTTCAATTTCCGACACAAACTTTATTACAATAAGACATAATAGAATATCACAAGTCTCCAGGTAATAACACCACTAGTTGTTATCAAAATATTTTTAAATATCATATAGTATTTTAAAGACATTAAAGTAAAGAAATAGAGGATAGATAAATAGCTGAATATGTATAAAAATAGAGGTAGGTGTAAAATAAACTCTTTAGACATTTTACGGGTCATAAAAGCCAGTATTGTTTAAAAACTTTGACATATATAATTCGCCGAATGGTCACACACGAGCAGTGAACGCCTGAGGGAACAAATGAAGTTCATAAGTATTAAATATTACTTAAGGGGAAAAAAAAAGCATTTGTAAACTGGATTTTATTTAATGGTTTGTTGTAAAAATACAAATAAATAGTGAAATACATGTTTCTTTTGCTATCAGGTCAACACACTGATATGTTACTAGTCAACATACTCATATATCACTCTGCAAACTCATATAGTCTATACATAATTATATAATTTAAGTAATTTTTGATTTTGCAATTTAAAATTTTTAATTTTAGTTGTTACTCATACGTGGGAAAACAAAGTAAACAGTTTTTTAAACAATATAACAATGGTCAAGAAATCTCTATTGGAAATGGCTGTGAATACAAAGGTATAAACTTTAATCTTGAATTTGTTTTTAAAAATAAAAAGAGTTCTTAACTAATTAATTATATATATATATATATATATATATATATATATATATATATATATATATATATATATATATATATATATATATATATATATATATATATATATATATATATTAACAAATTTAAAACTATATATATATATATATATATATATATATATATATATATATATATATATATATATATATATATATATATATATATATATATATATATATTAACACATTCAAAACTAGAATATTTAATACTGGAAAATTAATACTAGTATTTTAGTATTATAAAATTGTAATACCAGACCTTTTGAAAAAATTTTAATTAAACAAAAAATACTCAATTTTTAAACAATTTTTATTCTAAGTAAATAGATTTAAAAATCATGAAAAACTTTAAAATCTTAAAAAAATTTTAAATCATGCAAACTTATTGAACTATTTGGTAAAACTTTTGTTTCTTGTTCCATGAAAGTACATATCTTTAAAAACAAAGTGCATCCAGAATTTTGGTATCTTCTCTGCATTGCAACTTGTTTTTAAATATGCTAGAAGCAGAATCACTTCTAAATTCAAAGCTAGCTCACCAAGCTGTTATAAAAAAATAATCATAAACTTGTTCTCTCATGCAACTTCATCGTTAAAGAGATTCGTTTTCTTTACACCTATACTGCCAGTACAATCTGGTTGTCTCTCGACAACCTTATTTGTTTACAAAAGGCTTTCCACATCTCTTCTTTTTATTTATTCCTCAGAATTTACTCTTTTATTAACTTTATATTTCCAAACTTATAAGTGAAGAATTCCATAGACTTGTTTCTTATTAGTTGTGATTTGAACCCAAAGCACTGAATCGAAAATACATGTTTTAGATGTGTGTGAAAAATTGAAATTTATTATAAAATTTAAAATTCCTTTAAATCATGATTTATTTAAAACTTAGATAAGTTACAATTATTAAATTTATTATAATTTAAGTTTGTGTGTTCAATTGATGCATTCATGTCAATTGATTAATTCAAATAGATGTTTCTTTCTCCTGTTGTTTCTTTTTTGTATAGAAGATCTACAACCCTTGCACAGCTGCTAATTTATAATTTAGTACTAATTTTCCTACTTTCTGCATAGCTGCTGCAACCTCATTTGTTAAACTATATTCCTTTCAGATGAAAAATAATTCTGATTCAATTTTTACTTATTCTACAACATTTTTCTGCAGGTAAACTTCCATAGATTTAGAGAAGTCTTAAGTTCTATAACTATGACTCCCAATGTAAATTCAGATTTATGTGTCAGTGTTTTCTTAAAGTCCACTCATCAAAGTTCTGAATAGAAACCCATCAAGTGCTCTAGAATAGAAGCCCATCAAGTACTCCAGAATAGAAGCCCATCAAGTGCTCTACAATAGAAGCCCATCAAGTGCTCTACAATAGAAGCCCTTCAAGTGCTCTACAATAGAAGCCCATCAAGTGCTCTACACTAGAAGCTCATCAAGTGCTCTATAATAGAAGCCCATCAAGTGCTCTACAATAGAAGCACATCAAGTGCTCTACAATAGAAGCCCTTCAAGTGCTCTACAATAGAAGCCCATCAAGTGCAATGATATTTTTATAATTTTTGATCACTTTTTACGTTTTTCATCTTTGAAGAAGCAAAAAAATCAACCAAACTTTTAAATCTTTTCTTTTGAATGAAAACTAAACTTCAGAATCTTACTCTCCATCATCTTAATTAAATGACATCATTGTCATTAAATGACATCATTGTCATTAAAAAAATAACACACACACCATTATCATTATTAACTTAAATTTATAAATATACAGCCTATATATTTATAAATTTTATTTAATAGTATTACTAATGTTTTAATATATTTAAATATTAATTTAATTAAATAGTTTTCAATAGCATTAACTTAATTTAAATATTAAAATTTAAACTAAAATATAAACTCATTAACATATTTTTAACATATACAACTTTGAAACTTTTTTTTAAGAATAAATTTAAAAAAAGTGAATAAAGGATACAAATATTTTATGATATAATTGATAAAAAAAACTGCAGATTAAGTTCCAAAATACCGGTGTATATATATATATATATATATATATATATATATATATATATATATATATATATATATATATATATATATATATATATATATATATATATATATATATGTATATATATATATATATATATATATATATATTTATATATATATATATTTATATATATATAT